TTGGTGCGAACTTTGGATATACTTCACTGCCTGTTATTAAAACATTTTAATATGTTTCAAAGCACCCAATCAGATCTATGTTATTAATTACTCTTCTCATAATAAGCCAGTATTCATCGTTCAATGCTTGCATTCATAACCTGCTACGCCCTAGTGTGTCATGGTGTAATGAACATACATTTCTGTGATCTTTGATGGTTTGAGGATCTATTTGAGGTGGCTGTAAAGTAATAGCAGGATTATTGTGGGAAATTAATTTTTTTTAAGCTATTGTGGCTATAATAATTTTTTACCTTTTGAGAAAGTCATATGACAATTTTCTTGGAGCTATCACATTAGTAGATTTGGTTGTAGAAAGTTATTTTTCGCCAAGAATTTTTTGAAAAGCAATAAGTTATAGCCAAATATAATTGTTATAGCTTTTTGGAAAGCAAAGCTTTGAAATAGCAACCCCAACAAACCCCTGGTCCTTGTAAGAATCGTTAAGTACAATCCTTACAAGCTGAGTGATGTTTATTTTTTTAATGCTCATTCTAGCCATTTTAAGCAATTTTGACTCTTCCTATGGTTAGACTATCCTCATATGCATCAAATGGACTTGTTAGTCTTTTTGACATGCTCTCATTGGAAGCATACAACATTTGCTGAATTAATGAATGACAAAGAACTTAATATTCATGCCGACTTTTTATGGATTGTTCTAAATTTTGAAAGCAATTCTTTTGTATGCCTTGCGGTAGAATTCAGAGGATTGTACAAATAGAAGGTGTTTCAGCCTTTCAAAAGTCAGCTGACATTTCCGATAGTGCTTCAAAATATGTTTGCAATATTAGATTTATTTAACAATCGCTTTGATATACAACTAATATGTCTACAAAAAATTATAATAAGAACAAACAAAATGATGTTCTCTAGATGGTCTCAACCATGTATATGAGTGGAGCATAATATTTGTTAAAATTATTAGAACGAACGTCAAATTTGAGCTTCTTTCTTTCAACATCTAGTTGCAACGCCTAAAATAAAAAATAAAAAATAGAAAACGATCTAAAAAATCACATAAATAATAAGGATTCTTAGAAAAAATCATTAGTGCATGAATAGAACTGTCACATCAATAAATTCCAAACTACATGAAATGACTTTGAGCACTTTGAGAAATTAGAATTAGCCTAGAAAGTTGATTTGATTTCTAATAACAATGGAAAGTGCTGATAAAATAGGAATTAACCATAGAGCTCAAGAAGAATGCGAAACAATAGAAATATCACAAATGACTCATAGTTCTCAATATTTATGCAAGTGCGTCAACATAATAATGCAAGTTGATTAAATGAGTCAATTTAAATATATACAATATTGGCTCGGTTGATCAAGTAGATAACCTAGAAACTCAATTTCAATCTAGTTATTGCCCAATTGAACCAATACTCCTGATAAGCCACCATCATCAAGATTCCTTGCCTATGTGCTGGATCACAGAACTCATAGTTATAGCCATCCTAATTAGGGCAACAACACATGCATTTATTGCTCTTAAATTTTGTATCATAAGTCTCAACCCATTCATCCTTTTCAATAACAAGAGTTATCAATTCAAATATTCATATTAAAGTTCAAAATAACTTCAAATCCTTTGTGTGACCCAGTCAATCGAGCTATATGACTGTTAAGCCCATCAAACAAAAATTAAACCACTTTGACCCAGTCAATTGTGTTATGAGGCCCTTAAGCTCATCAAGCAAAAATTAAGCCACTCAGGCTGCCTTGCCTATAGGGCAAGATCATAATACCCTCCTTTTGGGCCGACTCTATTATATGAGCCGTAGTCCCATTGGGCATGCCAAAGATTATGTTGTAAGCCTTAGCCTTTGGGCAACTCAAAGTTCGAGCAATAAGCTTAAAATTTTAAATTAAAGTTTAAGGCTTCTAGTGAATGAAAACCCAAGTTCAACTAATTTGGGTTGACACAAAGCCAATAAACCCTCTATCAAAGAACTGGCCTTTTAATATATGTAAGCTTCATTACTATTAATATAGGCCTTCCAATAGATATAAGATTCATCCTAATTAAACTCAAGCCTTCTAATTGATGTAAGCCCTAACCCAATTTATATTTAGGCTAGCTACGATGTGAATGTGTTCATTAATCAATTGAAATTAAAATCATCCAAAACTTATGTATATTTACCTTAGTGTGCTCGAGATACTTAAGGGATGCAACCTATGGTTGCTAATTAGATTCTTTGTACATTATGACTTGTTGATCTATAATGCTAGTAGATTGGATCTGTTGATATGTATGATATGGTGGAATTATAAGATTATAATGTGTATACTTCTATTTCCCCAACTTTCTTTAATCAACTCAATTGAAACCTATTAATTAAGAGTGCTCTTTTGCCAGTAGGAGAAGTCATTAATGATGGGAGCTTGCACTCGTAGGAAGTTTCGATCCTAGATCTAAATAAGTAATATTTTGGCATTAACAAAGGTTAAAAAAGAAATAATCTACCTCATGGAAGATGAATCCCCAATTTCAAATAAGAGTAAGTACTTTTTTTGAGCAATCGCTTGAGACTTTAAACAAATTGGTTATTTAAGGCAATTCATGTCTAGGCCTTTCATTTGTTATATATGCTTATTCCTGCTAAAGAAATTGAACTATGAATTCAAGGTAATGATCTGAGCAAAAAGGATGATTTCAAGATGGGAAGGAAACATGGCGGGTTAAGTAGTTTATAGGCCCTAAAGTGCAAGTTGATTAGGAGTGGATTGAGTCCGGACAGAACTTAAGAAATGTCTAACATATAAACTGCATCTAAACTACAAATAAACATCAACATAGCACATTTCAGCAGTTCAAACAGTAGAATAGTCAACGAGAATGTATAAATGTTGGATTTTATTATGAAAATTCACTTCATTTATTAACAGGGTTGGTTATGTGAGATTATGAGGTACCATCTTGGTCATTGCTTTAGGTGATCATGTGAACTATATGGATATTGCATAATTAGTACCAATTTAGAGACACGGCTTCAAACATTCCATTTTCCCTCATCATGTTTGCTTTTTTCAAAATTTAAGAACTTTGCAAGCTTTTATGTTTCTCAGTAAATTTAGATCATATGTAGATTCCACTTTTTTTTCATCATTTGGGATATAGTTGTGAAAATTGATCTAACATATTGCTTTATCTAATAAGATGACTGTTATGGATAGACTCAATATTATGCATGAATCATGCGGTGAGGTAGATTTTAAGTTAATTGTGTAAAAACTTGATAATGAGTTAGGTAGTTTATTAGGTATTAACTCAATATCTATGCGTCAATCATATGGGAGGTAGGTTCAAACTTCTTATGTAAAAGCTTGAAAATGCATTGGGTTTCTATCTATATTAGTTGATGTGTGGAAATTTAATTAGTATGAAAGCATAAGACAGTTTTGAGTTTTTAGTGAAGGAGTTGATAATTAAATAAGAAGAGGGAGAAGAGGAGAGAAAAGAAGAAAGAAAGAGATTAAAATCATAAGTTCATTTCCAGTAGATAGAAGGATCACTTGACAAACAAAGGAAACCTTTTTGAGGGACTGTTGAAATGGATAATTTTCAGGTAAATGATTTCATAATCTTTTTAATCTCTCCTTATTTCTCTTACCTGTATTAAGAGACTGGGCTTTTTTTCTTTGTTGAGCGAAGGTGTAATCGGATTCTAGGAATGGCTAGTGTCATTTTATTAGACAAGGTGATTATGTTTTTTTTATTAGTGGATTATATCTTCTCTCATCATCCATTGTTGTAGTCTTACTCAAATCAACTCATGTAAGTTTGGTGTTATTTTCTTGTGCTGATTCATTTTTGTAGTTATTTGTGGCTCATAAAGTTAATTGTAGCTTTTTTCTTGAACAGTGGCAAGGAAAGAATTCATTATGGAGTTGATTATTTATTCTCTAAGTTGGTTAAAGAATGCTTCACAGAATATTTCAGTCAAACTTTCACCTAAAAAACCAATGAACTTAGTTGTGGCTTCTCTAAGATAATATAAAATGCATTAAAAAATTCTCTTATTAATCATTATGTTAGCAAGAGCTCAATGATTTTTTTATTTTATTTTGCTCTTTTACATAGATAAGATGATTCTTCAATGCTAAGTTCCATCATGCGTGCTTTTTTACATAAATGGGTTATAATTGTTCTTGTATCAGAATTTTAAATTTTGCATATAGTGTGAATTTTTTTTCTTTAACAACCTGCAACAAGGGATAAGCTATGCATGTCAGGTGCTATGTTCTTTCATCATTGAACTGTTAATCCTTAAAAACATTCAGCATAAATATAATAATTGTGACTGAAAAGGTTTATATATCATGTTGATAGGTACTTCAAATGCAACAAAGGGTTTAGAAATGCTGTTGAGTCAACCTGGCAACAGAGTTTGTGCTGATTGTGGGTCTCCAGACCCAAAATGGGTGTACGTCCATGACTTGTGAACGCCTGTGCCAACATTTCTAGTTTTATTTAGTTGGAAACAATAGAAAAGCTAGTTTGTTATCCTTGTATCATATTTTATCCGCCTCTTGCAATATTTCATTGTTTCTTCATTACCAAATTTTAATGCAATTTATTCTCTCTCGTTTTTTTTTTCTTAAAAGAAAAGTGGCTTAGCTAGAAGCATAATTGCTGAAGAAGTTTTATGAGACTCGTCATAGAAAGAATTTTGTAATCAATTTGGCACGGAGATATTTTATGGCACTAAATTAGTATGGCCTAATAATCTATAGAAAATTATGAATTCATTTTCTATTTCTATCTGGATATTCTTGGTATTGTTAAGGGATGAGGATCCTTGAGTTTTAGACATGCTTTGAAGGCAGGTTTTCACAAATGTTGCATCAAGAAGAAGGCAACATTGCTATGACCCAGTTTTCCCGCATGTAGTTATATCTCAGATGTTGTCTGCATGTACTCCTAGCAGATGATAAGGTACGGAGGCTTTGGGTGAGAATGTAATATTTTATATATTTTTAAGAAAATTCCATTCAATATACGTTGAATGAACCAACGCTTCTTTCACCAGGTTAATTGATTCAAAACTATTGAAAATCTTTCAGGGGGATATTGTATATTATAGACTTTGTATTTTACTACTTTTCCTAAATGCAACGATTCTAGTTAATAGCTATGAATCACAAAAACAAAATCTAATGAAAAGATAAACATGCCACGTCAGGAGGATTTGATAAACCTTGTAATACTAGGAAATGACATGCCTTTCATAGTTGATGAATTTGGTTATAAGAACCTATTATTACTGAATTTTTTAGCGCATGCAATTAAAACCCACACCGTTATTTGTGAAAATTTTTGTAAAATATATGAAGCACAGTTGATAATGAATATGTTGAAGAAAGAGTCAAAGAAAGTTCGATAGAAGTATAGCAGAGAAATAGAAATGTGAAAAAAAGAACTAGATGCATTTACTAACTTAACCATAGTGTCAAGATATATTTGCAAGTTGCATCCGAGAAGTTTCGAAAAGGTTGAAAATTTTTTCCCCAACAAAAATTAGTGTAGAAGGGATGCTATTCGGTATGTCTACATGTTGTATTGTGATGTGCAAGTGCCATGTCTTCGACACGATTTCTACATGAATTCAACTGCCCTTTAAAATTTTCTATGATTTTTAGACAAGTATAAAAGAACCAATACTGCGGAAACTGTCTACCTTGTGAAATGTAGTCTGCAGAATCAAAGATATGTTGACTTGATGAGTAGCTTTTCTAAGATGTGCTAAGCAAAATTGGAGGAAACTTGTACCTTTGTTAGTTGAAGAACAAATATATTGAAGATTATAACGGATTGTAAAACGGCTATTTGGAGAGTTCATCAATACTCTTATATTACTGAAATGACTGGAGATGGTCAATCTATGCAGGAATAAAGTGGTAATGCTTCTGTTAAAATCTTTTCATGCATGTCAGAAACATGCTGTGGCCTTTATGTAACCATGTAAGCATGGACTCATATAATTACTATATTTGGGACAACGCATGGGCTAATCTAATATTTTGATAACAGGATTGAGGAACCTGATAGAGCTTGCTGAATTCTGGAGGGCATCATTTGATTAAAGTTGCTCACTATGGAGTACAGATTGTAACACTCCATTAACCATTTGATGCATGTTTGATTCCGCTGATACTCTCTACACAAGCACTAATTAGATATGAAACCTAAATTTATGAAAGTTTAAACTTCCGGGACATGTTTACTGGCATTGGGACATGGCGTATGGCAACCTTTTTGCTTTTGAATAAATTACTCAAGGAAAACTGTTTCGTTTGAATATTTCATTTATTTATAATCACAATGATGCTTTAAATATTTGGAACATTTTTATCAATTTAAATGATGTGATAGTCAAATTTTTGTAATAGTGGACGACCTCGTTATTACTTAAAAGTTGAAAGTTCTACATTTGATTTCCTCCTTGAGTTGCTGTTTTAGGTATTCAAGTTGCATTGAATATTATGAACCTTTGTGATTTGCATTCATATGCCTTTTTAATGTATTTTCCTTTTGTTTGTATTTGCATATTTCTTGGCTTTTCTTAATGATTGAACTGAACAAATGAAATCAGGTCACTGAGCCATGGAGTATTTATCTGCATCAAGTGTTCAGGCATTCATAGAAGCCTTGGCGTTCATATATCCAAGGTATTAATAATAGGCCGCATTGCTATATTTTGTTTCTTGCAATATCTTTCTCTAATTTTGTTTTGTTAAAAAATTATTGTTTTAATAACTTAATTTTTTGTTGGATAGATTAGTGTTATGATTGTAGTCTCAAAAGTTGTCGTCATCATCTGCATCATCATTAGCCTCATCTCTATATTTGTGGCTGGTTTTATAAATTCTCAATTTCCATTCATCTTTACTTAGTGTTGCATGTCATTTTGCACAACTTCTATTCAAGTTACCTTCAATCTATATGGTTTTGATCTTATGCATGCATGAATGCTTATGGCATCTCGAAAGCATTTTATGAAAATTCAAACACCATCAAACACCTCCTCTTATGCTATATATATAGAATTCAAATAAAACTAGAATGCTACATGATAATATCAAAGTAAAAGCACATCGAACCTAAATTTTTGTTTCAACTTGTTACACCCTAGGTTTCAATGGTGGTAAACACTGACAATAAGGTTTATAATGAAGGAACTTAACCTACACCCCAGATGACATAACCTTGCTGTTAAGTCCAAGAATGGCAAGTTTGTGTTACAATATGTTTAAATCCAAATCTTCCCTTGGCCCTTGATCCCATGGCCAGCATGAGAATCCGTGGGAGGCTCACCTAGATCACGTAGTTAAATCTCATCCGTCCCTTAGCCCTTAATCCCACCACAACCAACATGGGAATCCATGGGAGGCTCACCTGGATCATGCCAATCTCCTATATTTGAGTGGTTGATTTATGAAGGATTTAATTAGGCAAATTATATATGATTCTATAGTTATTTGTTTTTTTATTAAGATATCTTGTATAGATCTATAAATAGAGATATATTTGTGCAAAAACGCTAAGCCTTTTCCCTCTCCAAATTCTCTGAATTTAACATGGTATCAGTGCCTTGAATCGAAGGAAGAGGAGAGGAGCAACCGACCTTCATTGCTAGAAATATGAGGAATGTATCTCACCACTAGGCTTCATTGTTGGAATTCAAAGAAATATCGGTTCCCACCACCGGCCTTCATTGCCGAAATTTGAGGAATATTGGGCCTTCCACCGGCCTTCATTGATGGAATTCTGAGGAATGCTGGTACTTCCACCAGCCTTAATTATTGAAATTTTGAGGAATAATGGTCCTTCCACCTATCTTTATTGCCAGAATTTTGGGGAATACTGATCCTTCCACCAGCCTTCATTGCCGGAATCGCTGGGATATATGAATCAAAGAAAAGGAGAGGAGCAAACGACCTTCATTGTCATTGAAGATCAAACGAGAATCAAGCAGTCCAAACCATTTGTGCCCTCTTTATCATGCCTGTGGCCAGAAGAAGCGGAGGCAAGAGTCTCTTGTGATGTCTTGGTGCCGAACCAAGTGAAGAAGAGGACCGAGTGGGGGAGCAAGAAGGATCGAGCGGTTCGTTGTGTACGTGAAGACAAGCGAACCAAGAAGTTCTTGTGACCTGAGAGTCGATCGAGCGGAACGATCATGTAAGGGAACTGCGCCTGTGACTTATGCGTGTGCCCTAGTGTTGAGCCGAGCAATCCGTTCTCTGTGTGCGACTAGAAGCTTTTGTCTTCACTTCCCGGGGCAGATCAAACAAGAGTTTGTTTGGGTGGAGTAAAAAACGACTGGTTTGCATTAGGCCAAAAGTAGTTCGATCGGATGGGAGGAGATTCTTGTGCCGAGTATTGAGCCGCTTGAGACATGTTTTTTTCTGTTGCTATCCCTATAGCTTTCCACAACCCTAAAAACATATTTTCCTTTCTATTATCATGCCTTTATTGTCGGCCTTCCCTTGAGATTTGACAGGGTGACAAACACGAAGGATAATTAATCCACTTTCCATGTTGTCCGACCATTGGGCTTTATTTCCATTTTCGATATCTTGAGGGCTAATGTTCAATGCAGACTTCAATGTTCAATGCAGCCAGCATGAGGATATGTGGGAGGCTCACCTGGATCACGTCAATCTCCAATATTTGAGTGGTTGATTTAGGAAGGATTTTATTAGGGAAATTATACATGATTTTATAGTTATTTTTTTCTTTATTAAGATATTTTGTATAAATCTATAAATAGGGATAGATTTGTGCAATAAATTTGAGCATTTTCTTTCTCCAAATTCTCTGAATTTTACATGGAATCAAAGCCTTCAATCGAAGGAAGTGGAGAGGAGCAACTGGCCTTCATTGTCGGAAATATGAGTAATACATCCCACCACTGGGCTTCATTGTCAGAATTCAGAGAAATATAGGTTCTCACCATTGGCCTTCATTGCCGGAATTTGAGAAATATTGGGCTTTCCACTGGCTTTCATTGGTGGAATTATGAGGAATATTGGTACTTCCACAAGCCTTAAATGTTGAAATTCTAATGAGTAGTGGTTCTTCTACCTGTCTTCATTATCAGAATTCTAAGGAATACTGATCCTTCCACCGGCCTTCATTGCCGGAATTACTGGTATATATGAATCGGAAGAGGAGAGGAGCAAACGACCTTCATTGTCATTGGAGATCAAACGAGAATTGAGCGGTACAAACCGTTCGTGCCCCTTTATTGTGCCTGTGGCCAGAAGAAGCGGAGGCGAGAGTCGCTTAGCGTGTCTAGGCGCCGAAACAAGTGAAGAAGAGGACCGAGTGAGAGAGCAAGAAGGATCGAGCGGTTCCTTGTGTACGTAAAGCCAAGCGAACTAAGAAGTTCTTGTGACCTGAGAGTCGATCGAGCGGAACGATCATGTAAGGGAACTGTGCCTGTGACTTCTGGTGTGCCCTAGTGTCGAGCCGAGCTATCCGTTCTCTGTTTGCGACTAGAAGCTTTGTCTTCACTTCCTGGGGCAGATCAAGCAAGAGTTTGTATAGGTGGAGTCAAACGACTGGTTTGCATTATGCTAAAAGCTAGCTCGATCGGATGGGAGAAGATCTTCGTGCCGAGTATTGAGTCGCTTGAGACATGCTTTTTTTCTGTTGTTATCCCTATAGCTTGCCGCAACCCTAGAAACATATTTTTTTCCTTTCTATTGTCGTGCCTTTATTGTCGGCCTTCCCTTGAGATCTGAGAGGGTGAAAAACACGAAGAATAATTAATCCGCTTTTCATGTTGTCCCACCACTGTCCGTTATTTCCATTTTCGACATATTGAGGGCTAATGTTCAATGCAGCCTTCATTGTTTCCCTGCACCTTGCAGACTTGATTGAGATAGCCTTCATCGTTATCATTTGTCGCAATAATGTTTGAAGTTAATTTCTCCCAAGCTTTGACCAAATGGAGGACTTTATGATGCACATAGGGATTTGATAACTCTATTTTCCTGGAGCTAATTACCAAGCTAGGAATGAAATATCTATATTTCTCAGCTTGAGGGGGAGTGTTAAAATCCAAATCATCCCTTGACCCTTATCCCACGGTCAACATGAGAATCCGTGGGAGGCTCACCTGGATCACACAGTTAAATCTCAACCGTCCCTTAGCCCTTGATGCCACCACAGCCAGCATGGGGATCCATGGAAGGCTCACCTGGATCACACCAATCTCCAATATTTGAGTGGTTGATTTAGGAAGGATTTTATTAGGACAATTATACATAATTCTATAATTATTTGTTTCTTTATTAAGATATCTTGTATAGATCTATAAATAGGGAGATAAATTTGTACAATAAAGCTAAGCTTTTCCCTCTCCAATTCTCTGAATTCAACACAATAAGATAACTCAGAACTTGATATGATACTGACAGTAAGAGAACTAAAGCATAGTTTAATTCTTGAAGGTGAAATGATTGTATGCTCTAATTAAGAAATTTTAGAACCAAATATACTTAATGGATTTTTCTTTGTTTTCTTTGTTAACGATGGAATTATTACCCCTAGATTCATTAGATGTAGTAGTTTGAGTTTGAGTATTTTGACTATAAGATGGATTATTGTTGTATGAACTGACACATTTGTAGCATGAAATTTTAATATTTGCTCAACATCTAATATAAGTTGGAAAGAAATTTAATTTATGAGATTAATGTAGGGCGTTATTTCTCTTTTAATATCAGACCTTAAATCAATCTAGAACGTATTATTTTGGGATCTTCCATTATTTTGAAGGTAATTAATAATTTTTCAAATTTATTCTTATATTCAATTGTTATCTTTGTTCATTGTTTGAATAATTATACAAACAATTATGATGTAACAATGAGAGAGATTTTTCTTTAAATACAATTTTCATTTCTTTAACAACTGGAAGCTATAACGGACAGTTAGTGTGAATGGAAGATGGAGAGTTGTGCTCGTTGTCGGTGGGTCTGAGTTCTCTCAGCCATTGAGGCTGCAACCTGCTTCCATGGTTTGAAAATGACAGAAAGGAGGTTCTAAGGGATTAAGGGAGTGGAGATTTCTATCTTTACAAGTGAAAAAAAAAAATAATGTTACCCTAAAACAAAAGCTGTGTTTTCACTTACTGATAGGAAACAGGCCCTCCCGTTCAAGATTGAGTAGACAACAAAATGATTAATAATGCTGTGATAAGGATGCTTATGGCAGTTATACTCGATTTTATACTTCCTTATATATTGTATAAAATAATGATACGTTTGAAAAATTTTCCTGATTTCTCCTTCAGGTTATTTCAGTTAACCTAGATGAATGGACAGTTGAGCAGATTGATTCTTTAATTAATGGGGGTGGAAATACTGCTGTAAATATGAAATACGAAGCTTTCCTGCCCGGAGATGTTGAAAAACCAAAACCAGATGCTCTATTAGAGGAACGTTTTGATTTCATAAGGTACTTTGTAACACTTCACATCAATCAATTTTGTCCTTGGGTAGCAGTTTACTGAATATATGCATATCTACTTGACCTGCAGGAGAAAATATGAGCTCCAACAATTTTCATCTGTCCAAACTGTTTCTGCATCTACAGTATCATCTTTCAAATCACCTTTGCAGAACAATATCCCCAAAAATAAATACTTTGAGAAGCAACACACTGGTATCCGTCATACTCTAGCTCAAGCATTCAGAAACAGTTGGAGTAAAAAGGGATCTGAGCAGAAAGCATTCAGGTCGACGGTAAGTTGATCTTATTAAATTAATTGATAATGCAATGATTGTTGGGAATTAGACGATGATAACTAATTTAAATTATTGAGAGGAAATCTATGATGCAAAGGCAGTTCATATAATAAAATTTTGGATATCTTTACAACACCTACATTTGCCTGACATATTTTATACATTGCAATCTATCTGTTCAGTTAATAGAAATAAAAAATAAATAAACAAGCTTGTGTTATGTTTTAATTTTAAAATATATTATACAAATAATTTAAGTTAAGTGGCTTTTTCTTTTTTAATTTAAAATGTATTATATAAATAAATTAATAGAGACTTAATACTAATTTTGTTTTCCTTGACTATATTTTTTATGATATTTTTATAATTACATACATACCACTTAATACTATGCTATTTACATATTTAACACCTAAAACTTTAATATTACATAAATACCACCCATAGTTCATTTTCATATCAAATATGAGTGGTAGAAATGAAATATATGAGTGGTAGGAAAAAAATGTAAGTGGTATATTTGATATTAAATAATATAGGGTGGTATTCATGTAATATTAAAGTTTTAGGTGTTAGATATGTAAATAGGATGTTATAAAGTGGTATGTATGTAAATTTCCCTATTTATTTTTAATTTTTTAATAAAAGAATCAATTTTCTCAATTTTAAGCTAACAATGTATAATATCATGTGGCTATTCCTTTTTTAATTGAGTTTATGATATTTAATAGTTATCAATATAAATTTTATGTTACAAGCAATTGCAATAAGCTTATTTTATTATATGAATTTATTTCATATTTATTTAATTTTTGTGATAATTATATAATATTTTTTTATTTTAAAGGAATAATATTGTAATGACTTATTCAATTTTTACTTGTGTTCTATATTGTTGTATTCTGTTCATATCCTTGTGCTATTATTGGTGCATCGGTGGAGTTAATAAAATAAAAAGAAGATAAAGACACAAAATGCTTCAATAATTTTATATAGGTTAATTGAATTGAAGGATTTCATGCTGGCATCATTGTAAATTTTACTATGATGATAGAATTTTTATAGAAAAATGCAGAATTTGAATCTCAGATGTATCACATAAATACTGCCCTATATTGTTGTATCTTGTTCATATCCTTGTGCTGTTATCGGTGCCTCATTGGAGGTAATAAAATAAAAACTAGATAAAGACACAAAATACATCAGTAATTTTATATAGGTTAGTTGAATTGAGGCTATGTCATGCAGCTATCATTGTAAATGTTACTATGATAGAATTTTTATAGAAAAATGCAGAATTTGAATCTCTTAGTTGTATCACTTAAATCAATCCCTCTTTTATAAGGGGTAAAAAACTATTGCAATTGAAAATTACAATAAAATTTCATAACAACCTTAATAAAACAACTTGCAAATTTTAGATATCTTTTGAGGGCTCCTCCACCGAATCCCGGTGAGTGCAACTCTCAATAACGTTCACAAACAATATTTCTTCATAGCGATTTGATTAGACTCCACAATTTAACAATGTTTTTTTTTTTTTTTAATCAGTTTTCTATGATGATTCAGTGAGTTTTTGCTTTGGAATTTGACAGCAGAACTACTGTTACAGGTGGGCATGGTTGAATTTCTTGGTTTAATTAAGGTTAACATTATAAGGGGTACCAATCTTGCTATTCGAGATGTGCTAACCAGTGATCCTTACGTCATTGTAACTTTAGGACACCAAGTAAGAAGCTTTCGAATGAACAGATCTTTATATAATATTTCTTCCATTAAAATGTCTGAATTTGTTTGTTCTTTGTTGCAGACAATGAAAACAAGAGTAGTGAGGAGAAATTTAAATCCTGTGTGGCATGAAAGTCTGATGCTGTCAATTCCAGATCCTATTCCTCCACTTAGACTGGTGAGCTATTTCTTAGACTGATGAGCGAATTTTTAACCTTTTCTATTTGTTAAAGAGATGTGCTAGAATCCCTTAATTGTACCATGTTGTTGTTCTTATGGTTTATGTAGTCATGGTATTTGCTCATGAAAAGTAGACTTTCTTTCTATGTTTGGGTTGAATCTTAATCATTTTGCTGTTGGGAGAAAATGCATTATGAGAGCATTGACGCATGTGAGAACAAAATAAATATTCTACAACAAGAAAATCAGGAGAAGAATACGAGAGAATTTATTGAGAATTCTCTCGGTGAGAGTTAGGGGTGTCAATTTCGGATAACGGGTCGGGTTCGGGTCAAACCCAAAACTGACCTGGCACTATTCGGGTCAACCCGAACCTGATTAAAAACGGGTCAATCTCTGCTTTTCGGGTAAAAAACGGGTCAATCTCGGGTTGCCGGGTAAAAAACTGGTTTTTGGGTAAAAAAGGGTCAATTTCGGGTCAAAGGGTCGAACCGAATCTGACTCGATTTTTGAAACAGGTCGAATTGTTGAACTTGAACCCGACCCATTTCGGGGTCGGGTAAACCCGAAATTTTTGTGTCGGGTTTTCGGGTTGGGTCCAATATTGACACCCCTAGTCAGAGCCAGTTATGTTGAAAGTTTCACGAAGTGATGACTATCTACACTAGTCCATATATAAATATTGATCTTACTTTTATCTCACTAGTTTTCTCTCTCTCTCTCTCTCACACACACAAACACACATCTAATCTTCAAATATGAGTGAATTTTTCACTAGCAATGCTACCATCGAGAATAGAGAAAAAGATGATGCCTTCTATGTTGGATGATATCAATGATCAATCTTTATTTTTTTAATATAAGAGAGCCTTAAACTTCCAAGTCCTGAATGAGAAAAGTGGAGGGTTGTGTTAGGCGGTCAACAATCAGCGTAAAATTTGTTGAATAATCATGACATGAATTCTTTAATATATTATGTTAATGCTAGGACGTTATCTGGAAGCGACGAGTTGTATGACTTGAATACATCGACCAGTGAGCAAGGGTCGTTGCACTGGCGCCTCGGGTGCAATGCTAAATAGGCAAGAGTTCTCACATCATGGATGGATGTGGGCAAAAAAGCTAGTCCATGAAAATAAATTAGGATAGGAACTTGGAATATAGGTTTCCTTACAGGCAAGTTAATGAAATTAATATATATTTTGCATTTAGGAAACTAAATAGGTTCGAGAGAAGACTAAAGAGATTAATTGTTTAGGATTTAAACTATGGTATTTTGATAAGAATCATACTAGAAATGGTGTAGATGTGATTATAAATAAGTGTTTGAAGATAATGTTGTAAAACTTAATAGAATTGTAGAGAGAATTATAGTTTTAAAGATTGTTGTTGATGCTAAGATTATCAATAGAATAAGCACTTATGCTCCACAAATAAGTTTGGGAAAAAGTAGCTAGTGATATTAAAAATACTGCAAAAGATGCGCTGGGAGTATCAAAGGAAAAAGCTATTAATTGTAAAAATAGTTGGTGGTAGAATCAAAATGTGCAAGAAAAGATAAAAAATAAAAAGATTTGTTATAAAAATTAGTTTAGCTGTAAAAACTCTGATAATTGGGAAAGATATAAAGATCTCTTTTACACATGTATGTCTGAAAGTGAAAAATAAGTGATGCTTTGCAAAAATTAAATTATAATTTTAGTTAGTTAAAAAAAATAATAAAAGTGATGCCTTGCAAATGTTGTTTTTTTAATAAAGTAATATTTGATGGTAGGTGCGAAGAATCAGATCGGTGCAGAATGTTGAATTTGATAATCACTAGTTGAAAATCAAAACTGTATTTGACCTTTTATTGCTTAAAGTCAACAATGATTCAACTGTGTATTTTGCAGCAAGTGTTCGATAAGGATACCTTCAGCGCTGACGACGAAATGGGGGAGGCTGAAATAGATATCCAACCGCTCGTCGAAGCAGCCAAAGCATATGAGAAGTCTTTTTTAAACGCAGAGCCTATACAGGTTGGTAAGTGGCTTGCAACAGACTACAAAACACTCGTTAACGACAGTATTTTCTCCCTTGTAGATGGTAAGGTGAAGCAGGAGATTACCCTTAAGCTTCAGAATGTGGAGAGTGGCCACTTAGAGATGGAGCTACAATGCATGCCTCTTAGCCAATGATTTTTCATCTTACAGAATTGATTTTATTTTGAACTTTTTTGTGAGAGTAAATATTACATTTTAAGGGTTATAGTAAGTGCTATATCGTACTCAAGTAGTTGTGAGGTATAGCACTTTCTGCACTTATGTAAAATCTCATATAATTATATAAATATATTTTTCTTACATTCTTAATGTTTTTGTATAGAAGTTTAGCCCCTTACATTAGGGGTTTTTGTGTTTTTCTAATTTGAAATTTTAATTGGTAAAACAATTTTTATATAAAAGTAATTTTGACATAGGATCCTTATAAACTAACGTAGAGTTGGCTTGCATTATCTAACTGAGTAAAATTATGGTGTTGCACTAAATGCATGTAGTAATCCTTTTGTTGAAGGGCACACCTTAAAAAGAAAACGTTTATATTAAGATTTTAGGGCCGAATATTATTTTAATTGAAAAATATGGAAAAAATACAGTTTTAAAACGGCTTCGCAATTAGAGACATATATGTACAGGACGCCATAAAAGTAATGGTGATATGTCTCATTATTTGGATTGCCCATTAGAATACCTATTTTACATATTTTACATAATTAGATTATCATAAAATTTATTTTATTACAATCAATTTGATAATAACTCTAATATGAATGCTTTTCATGAGTAAAAAACATTTACAACAACATTAATACAATATAATATAAACAACAATATCAAGCTTTTATCCTACTACTTGGGATCGGTTATTTGAATCATTTATGGGCTTTGAAAAATTCAAGCCTAGCCTTCTCCGTGCCGTCTTTTTGTTAATAATGAGAGTTTTAACGGATTTAGGTTTCATGATAAATTTTCAGGAGGATTGGATTTTAGATTAGACATTACTTATGCAATCCTCTTGAAATCTTTTCTAAGTATCACTAATGACTTTCAAGGATGATTATAAGTGTTTGAAACTATTTAGAAAATTTTATTATTTTTTTAATTATTTTATTTAATTAATTTATTGTTATTATTTTTTATTTTTAAAGAATTTCAAGAGTCTTTTAATTTTCCTTTATTTAGAATTTAATTTTGAGTATCCTAATGCTTAAATCTATATTTTTTAGCATTTTATTTGAATTTATTATGAATTAAAAAATAATAGATCAATTATACATGTCAAACTTAGATTCTCTAATTTTAAACATAAGTTCATCTAAACATAAGCTTCAAACCCACTAAATATGGATTCATCAAAACCTTCCTATGTGTTACAATTAATCCCCTAATATAAATACATCTATACCTTCAGAGATTTAATTTGAACAATCTGTTGTTTAGATTTGAGTAAAATCACTATGAATCTAACCCTTGCATAAACATAAATAAATCATATAAATTTCAAGCTCTAATTCTATGTGGATGAAGAGCAATGAATTTCCAAAGTTTTGGTTCAAATTATGACCCATAACTTTGACACTTCAATTCTGAAAAATCCATTGATCATCAAGGCTCATAAAAATTAGGGCATGTAGCACACTTGCCCCAATTTTCACTATTTAAATTTGAGCTCAATCAGACCATTGATTAATGGGCATTCAAACCCTGATTACTCTCTACACAATAGTTAAAATATTCTATTTTTTTTAAAAGAAATAAAATTGGACTCAAGCTAGTTCTAATGAGCCGAAGAACTCAAAGATTTGCTGAAAATGAATTTATGGTAATTTTTTGAAGTTTGTAGCATTTTTTGAATCATTTTAACCTTTTAATTTGAATTAATTAATAGCAGGCAATGATTAGCAATCATTACATGGTGATGCACAATGACTTCGACTGTGATCAAACACGCATCGGCTTGAGGATCGCTCTGTTGTTCACTTATCCATATAGATGGTGAATTAGGACCGTTGATCCCAACGTGTGGTTTGGGATCAACGGTATGAGCATTGAATTTTGAAATTAGATTTTTCATTCGATTTGGACAAATAGATTTGGTTTGGATTTAATTTGATTAATGATTTGAAGGATTTGGATTTGAAATGATCATATCATTGACAATCATTAATGATTATCAATGATTGAATATGTGATCAATTGACAATCACTCTTGACTGTCAACTGATAATTTGATAAATGATTTTATTTTCTTATGTTTTGAGTTGATTGTGATGGTTAATGATTGATGAAAGTTTTTATTTTGAATTGATCATATAACTAATAATAATTTGGTGATTTTCAAGTGATTGATCATATGATCAAATGACAATCAAGGGTGACTATCAAGTGATGATTTTGAGGTCAGTGATTTGATCACTATGCCAAAGCACAGTGGTGAATTGGATTTGAGTTATTTGAATCAGAATTATTTTATCTCTTTTATAATAGATGAGTTATCTTATAAGTTAATTTGAACTTATTAAATTAAGCTCAAGTCAAACTATAACTCGATTAATAAATCAAGCTTAAGCTTAACTCATTTGTACATCTACTTGTGAACTTTATTATCCATGCTTAAATAAATTAAATTTAATTTATATTTTTTATTTTTAATATGTGCTACCCATGCTTCTTATTAGCTCACCTTTTCTTTAGTAATTTATCACATATAAATCTTAATATATTCTTCTCCACCGTGATCAATATGTAGTTGTCTTATTAAGGCTTAGCTCCGATTAGAACAGGACTAATGATTGACCATCAATTTTGAGTACATTGAAGGGCTTATTTGCTATTGAAAGTTAGACTTGAGGATAATTGATCTGGAATGATTACCTACATGTCGCCCTATGTTCATCGTTGGACCATCTTTTATATCAACCGCATTTCATTCCTCTGTCATGCTTATTAGTTAACAAATTTATTATTTGCAACCATTGCCTTCAACTTAGAAAGGTTGCAAATAGCATGTTCACGAACTACATACCAAGACATCCCTACATTGAACTCCTCAATGATTCGATTCTATCGCCTGTTGCATTTTTTCTTGAGCTAACACTTGTACCGCTGTCCATCATCTCATACGACTAATCATCGGGTTCTACTGCAAATATTCTTCACGAGAATTTGTGGGTGGATTTACATCTTCACTTACGTAGGGCCTGTGTGAGCACGTTTGTTGAAAGAATAAAAACATGGGTGCTTCATGCAAAGAGAAATGGTAAAGAGAATATAAAAATATCCTTACAACTAAAATTTTTTTCATAGGCGCTGCCCACGGAAACAACCATAGGGGCATTGCCCTTTGACCCTGCGACCTGACCGGGTAGGTCCAACCCTGCTAGGGGGAAATGCCCCCTTAGAACCTTAGTATATCTTTGAAATCTCTACACTTCTATAAGTTTGCCTCCCTAAAAATTAAGGTTGGTTCCGCCTCTAGGTGCATGTATTAGATACTGGGTGTTGCTTATGCTTAATCGGCCTCGTGTATCAAGTTTGCAAACCATATCCTCATTATGGTGGAAGTAGAGAGTAATTAGAGAAGAAAAGGAGCTTAATACATAACAAAGAAAAATGTTATATGATAAGGACAATGAATGCATCTGAATGCTTCAATAGAGTCCTTGGATGTGCTCATAGGCACTTAATACAAGGTCTCATCACAATTGTTTATTACAATCAAGTGTCACTATTTCTTAAGCGCGTGAAAAATGTGACACACTAGAGCTCTTTTAGTGACTCCAAGTTTGTACCACATGTACTAACACTGCATCATTTTAAGTGTGATGCACGTCTATGCCTTGAATCGTTATGTAGAAATAATTATGAATATCATGTGATCAACATGTCCTGTAGAGTATTCTAAGTTTAGATTACATTAGCCCACATATGCACATGCACATGCAACAAGCTGAGAAATATCATATACCATATGTTACCTGACTACACGTGGTGGCCTTTGTTTGATGTTAACTCAAGTAGGGCCATCTTTATAATAATGGAAACCCATTGGTTTGGTGTGGGGAGCTACTAGTGGTTATCAACTTGAAGACTAATCAAATTAGATATCAGTTGAGGCACCATACAACATAAGCATACCTGACTGGATGACACTAATAGGTTTGTCATTATCATCAACATAGTAGGATTTAATACTCACATAACTTGGGACATACAATATGATTCCACAATATGAGGAGGAAGAGCCGACCGATAATGTGGCGCAACAATGTAGAAGATTTCAACGAGCTCTTGCTAGGTATAGGTCGATCTCTATAAATTTTTCTTATACTTGCTTCCAACCAAACATGATTGGAAATACTACTGCCAGGTCAGTCACAATGTGTTCTCATCATCTTTGTATTTAGTCTAATTAGTAGTTGATCATGTTCTAATGTTTTAGGATGTGTACGATAGCAGAATGCATCATTATAACGCACCAACAGTTCTAGTTGTGGATTTATTGATGTTTTACATCTTTTTTTTTGTTGATTTGTTGTTAAGTGCAATAGAGGGTTCGATGACTCTTCATTAGCATTTTTAAAGCCAGACTTCTCCTCAACAAGCTCTTTGCTAGGAGCACGTTTATTTATTTCTATAAATGTTTATTGTATTTTCTTCCAACCAGACCTAATTAGAAATGCTACTACGAGATCACAATATGTTCTCATCATCTTTATATGTAGGCTAATGAGTGGTTGATCACATTTTGACGTTTGAAGATGCGTACAACAATGAAATACATCATTAGAACACAAAACATTTCTACTTGTAGATTTACCTATCCTTTTGTCATTTGGTGTTAGGTGCAATAGAGGAATCAATAACCCTTTGCTAGCTTTTTTAAATATATGGCTCCTTTCATGGTTGCAATTTAGGATGAAACTCAAGATAAATGATATAAACTATATAAAATAGAAGATAATCATGTTGGATGCAAGTTGTGGTGCCTCTATACTTTATATCAATTGTTCTTAAATAGATACATTATTATCTAAATTATGAACAATAATTGCACACGGTACTATGAGCTAAGATATGTTAATCTTGTAATAATGAATTAGAACTTGAATGGACCTATTATGCAAAAATATATAATTATTTAACACACAATTAGGGTGGACTGTTCTGAGAAACTTATTTGGCCACAATATTTTGCATTGGATTCATCATGTACTCTCCAACCGCCACATCAATGAAGGTTGACTAGGCATGTAAGAAATGGAGCCTCTATTCCCAATGACATGTAACATCAATAAATAACAATTTATACA